CGTGATACTTAACAATCTCCAGGATTTTCTCACTCATTTTTTTCCTATTTTGCTATTGGGAAGATTGGGGAGCACCACTTTTTATTGTCTTGGAGCCTTTCTCACTGTTGATCTTCCACTTGGCAGAAAATTTTGCTTCAAAAACCACTGACATATCTTCAACCCATTGCATGACTGCAAGAGGCCCCCAAAAGAGCAGGGACTTGGAGGGAATAAGGAGGTATAACGGGGGAGTTTGAGGAGACCCTACATGTTGCCACACAGCCTTTCCACACACTGTGCTTGCTGGCCCTGCATCTCTGGACTTCTCCAGGGCTAAAAATCAAGAGCTGTGTCCAGAGGGAAGAGGCTGAGCATCCCTCCTTCCCATGAAACAGGGCTACAGATGCCTCCATGGATGGGGAAATGGCTTTTCTGGACAATGAAAACATCAGCTGCTGTTGCAAGCAGGAAGCAGGAGCTTCGCAGGGATTGGAAATGAAAAACAACAGGAATGCAGGTTTAAGTAAGTGCTTTGAAATGTCAGAAAGACTGTTTTTAGAGAGCGTGCTTGCTCCAAAGCTTGTAAATAAGCGCTCGACTCTCTGAGATATAAATGTTCCCAGGGAGCCTTAGCTGCCCTCTCCTTCCTAGAGCTCAGGAGCGCTCGTGGGCAGGCGCACGCTCCCCCCTGTTCTTACAGGGCGTGTGGGTTCAATAGTTCAGCTCTTTTTAATTCCTTCCCAAGCTGAATCAACTAAGCGCCAAAAATACTTGTGAACAACAGCAAGAGGGTCAGAAAAGGCAGAATAAAACATAACAGATCCCTAAATTGCAATTCAGTGAGTTTTCTTTCAGCTAAGGAAAGAAATCACATAAATATCCTCTTGTGTTCGACTCAAAACAACCTACCCCACCATGTTCTTTGGTTGGCCACAAGACCCAAGAGTTGCATTTACTCAGCACTAAGTTGCTTTGATGCAGCGACCGCATCTCTTGTTCAACACAAGCCATGTCATGCTCCCAAAGTCCCAGCGGGATCCCGGCCAGTGTTAGCCATCATGGGGAGGGCAGAGCCAGCAGAGCTGGTAATCAGGGCACAGGGAAGGGATAAAACCAACAGCTGCAGCAATTGCGGCAGTGTGGAAGGGTCAAGCCCCCAAAAAGGCAAATTGAACTGCTGAAAAAGCACTTTGCATCCCGAGCAGACATGCAGGGTTAGAGCTCCCCGGCAGCTCAGTGCAATACGGTACCTGCAACTGGAACATCCCAGGGTGGTGCATAAAGGGGAAAAAAAAAACAAGGAAAATCAACACAGTGCAATTTTGCTCTTTTTATAACCCCTGGAAGGAAAAGCAGACGGCTCGCAGCAGGTAAGAGAAGGGTGAACTACTGGCACTGCCCCACATGCTCCCCGTGCCACAGCGTGGGGCCGGCTCAAGGAGGGGGCTGATGGCACCGTTGGTCCTTCACTCGCTGGCAGAGTGGTTTTGGGTTGGAGGGACAGGATGAGCCCCGTGTTGCTCACTGAGCACGGGTGAAATTCCACCCTGCTGGCTCTGATCACATCCCCTTTCCTGCTTCTCTCAGGAACTTTCCCCAAGGGAATTAGCAGGATAAAGCTCCAACCCCGGGTCCTAGCAAGTACCACCATCAGCCACCGCCAGGGACAAAGCAAGAGATGGGCAAGGCACTTGAAAGCAGAAACAAACTGTCAGGAACATAATGCAGGAACCCACCTAAAGGCAATTATCACAATTAAAACATAGGATTATTTATATGCTCTCCTTAGTGTAAGCAGCCTCCTGGGAGGAAGCATCGTGGACAGAGGAGCTTGGAATCGGATTGTGCCCGGCTTGCTTGGCAGCCCGGGCTGCCGGCGAGGACACCCACCTTCCAGATGCTGGCTTCCTTCCCGTACACCACGGCCATGTTGCTCACTTTGTTGGACTTGATGAACTGCTTCTCCGTCCTGTTGAGCTCCTCGGACACGAAGCCCATGAAGGAGTTGTCAGGGGTGTGAGCTGCAACACCAAGGGAGAAGGACACACGCTGGCAGGCCAGACCCTGCGCATGGAGCTGCCCAGCTGGCATCACTCAGCGTCCCCATCCAGCGCAGCGGAACCTGGCAAAGGTTGTGCTTCTCCAAGCAGAGCTGGGAGAAGCCCTAAGAAAGTGGTAAAATCAAACCAGCAACAAAGGTAGGGTCGTGCAAGGGAAGTTTCCATCTCTCTGCCTACCAGTCTGGCTATTTAAGTCTCTGTAAAACCACCAAATGGGTTATAACCAGCCAGGATGAAACCTCTGAGTCGCCAAGGGGTCTACAGGCTTGTTTCAGAGCAGGAGGTCTCCCCTCTGTGCCACAGCTCGTCGGACATCGGAGCCGCTGAGCTGCCCCTCGCCTCTAAATCCAGGCTGCCCTTCTGGCCAGAGCAGTGGCAATAAATAAAAGCTTTGCAAACAAAAACAGCCCAAGAGATGCTTTGGGTGCTCATAAGCTCTGCCCGCACCCTGTGGCCGGCCAAGGAGCCTGTTTCCAGCCACCACCATGGCCCCCAGCCCCTTTCTCAGCACCCAGATCACGTCCTTGGGCCAAGAAATCACAGCTGGTCCCTCGGAGCCGTGCCCATGCTGGTCGTGCACTTACGGAACATGGTCATGAACTGGGTGGGCTGCAGGTTCCAGTAGCCCCAGTTGGTGCGGTAGCCGCGCAGCGTGGCGTACTCCTCGTGGTTGTAGGCCGGTTCCGTGCCAAAGGTGTCGATGACCCGAACGCGGCAGCTGCGAGGGGAGAGGGGACCCGCGTTACCTCTGCGGCCACACGTCCCTTCCAGGCAACTCCCTCCCCTAATGACCAGCTTCCCGCTGCAGGGCCTCCATCTCCCCACGGGTTCTGGAAACGATGCATCTCCTGCAGACATGCTAATGCTCTCCCCAACATCCCGGGAATGCTGAGGCAGCCAGTGCTGCCACCAGACCGAGGAGAGAAGGGGAACATCAAGCCAGAGAGGAGAAAAACAAGCCGAACGTGCAAGTAAATGCATTTATAATAAAAGCAATAACGCTGCTTGTCATTTTTCTCTCTAATAAAATTGTGTAGGATAGCAGAGGAGATGGGAGAAAACATAATAAATAGCAGGACTATCAGTGCTAAATTAAATCGCATATTTTCCTGGCTGCTGATATACCAGGGGATGATGACATTTGTCTTGAGGCTGAAGGAGCCAGGGACAGGGCTTTGGTTTTTGAAAGCACCACAGCATCCTCCTGCGATGTGCCAGCCTGTGCCTGCACGTGGCAGACACTCTTTGGGAGCAAGCATGGACCCACAGACACATGCCCAGCGGGCGGTTTCCAACGCAAATTCTGCTAACGAGCTTTTGTCTTAAATAAGCGGCTCACAAGGCAGCAATCTCATGCCATGGCAGCATAGAGGGAGCTCAATGCCAGGACTGAAGAGCTTCAACCAAGCTCGACCCGTGTTGGGGACCTGCAGGGATGGGGATGCAGGTTGTACAACCTGGTGCTGATGGGTTCTGCAGCATCTCTGGGCACTATTTGTCCTTCAAGATCTTTAGCAGTCATGTTGGCTCACTAATGAACAAATCCCACCGAAGGAAAAAGAAGGGGCTCTGCTTACCTGTATTTCTTAAAGGAGAGACCCATGTGCTGCTTCATCTGTTGGAGACCATGGTAGTCGGTGTAAATCAGGTCAAAAGGCAGAGGAATCGTCAAGGGACAGTTCCCCCGTCCCGGAGGCACCCCTAGATTGCTGGTAAGAACCAAGAATGACCGATAAGCTCCCAAACACCATAAAAGCCCTTTCACCAACCCGGCAGGACAAACACCGCTGCCCACGGATGGCTGCCTCTGTGGCAGGAGGACATCCAGGTCCAGAGGTATCACTGCCTCCAAACACATCAGTAAAACATTACCAAAAAAAGGAAAAAAAAAGGACCTGCTGGAAGGCCTGCACCCTCGATCCGAGCCTTGCAACTGCATTGGTGACTCTTCATCATCCCATAACCAGTGGGTGCAAGCGTGGTCCTACCCCATCTCTGCATGCAGATCTTCCCATCATCAGTCCCTGAACCCCTTTCTGTCCTCCCATCCTTGCAGCTGCGGAGGGCTTACTAGAAGGCCCTAGGACCCTTCCTCCTCCTATGGGGTCGCTGTGCAAAATTCACTCGTGTCTCCAATATCTTGCACTGTGCCTGGGGCTGAGCCAAGAGGCAGACTGACAGCGGGGTGCTCAGCACCACTGCACTGGTTTTCAGCAGTTCCTTGCAGCAACCCTTCTCGAGCCCTTTTCCCCTGAGCAGCGCACAAAACGCTTTATGGAAATCCAGATAAACTAGATGGACTGCAATCTCCTTATTGGGATCATCAGTTACCCTGCGACCAAGGCAATATGTGATTAATCTGGCGTGATACAAGGCTGGTAAACCTGCGGCACGTCTCGCTCCGTTTTCCATTACCTCTGCAAGCCGATGAAGCTGCCTTTCCAAACCTCTTCCATTAAGTGTATCACTGATGTCAGCCTGACAGCCCATCTGCTCGTCTGGACTATGTTTCCTCTTCCTCAGAAAAATCCATGACACCTTCCAACTTAAGCAGGTGTCTTAAAAATCCTTGTTACATGTACCTGTGATTTCTGAGCGTGAGTTCACTCAGGAATATAAATGATCCATCCCTCAGTATCAGTGTTCTTGCAATTTTTCCTCTGAGACACTGCAATTCCTCCTCCTGTTTTACTACCCGGCTGCCCACAACAACTGACACCAACATCCCTCTAGAAAGCCAAGACGTGCTCAGTTGGTCCATCTGGGCTTTGCCCCACTCCCTCTGTGCAAAAGCCCCATTGTTTTCTTAGCTCTGAATATTTTATCTTTTATTTTGCAAATCTGAGCACAGCACAGCAAAATTTCTCCCTCAGCTCCTGTTTGCTAAGATGTAGCTCTTCTTACATGTCCAGTCTTTTTCCGTTTTCTTCTGGGCTCTTCACCTATCCCTAACATCTATTCGGAAATGGGGATTTATCCCATCCTTCAGTACTGTAGGTACTTTTCCTTTTCTTAGCGATACAAGATCCAGTTAGTTCTTGAGTTTCCAGGTTCCTGGAGCCCTACACTATGCGACTTCTCTTACTGCTTCTCTTCATTCCTCTACATTAGCCCCTGTGAATTTAGGACTCCTCTTTACAGCAATACTGGGATTTTAGTCTGTCATTGAGTGGAACTAGAGCGAGTCTGCAGTCACGGGTCCTTTCTCGGAGAAGCATTTCCAAAAGGTCCTTGCTCAGACCTATGACTATGACATTTCGTCTATCAACTCCACGGCTGTCCAGAGAGGACATCGATGACTTTTTCTACCTGAGCAGCAGCCCAGCTATACCATTATGAGATGCATTTGTTCTCCATCTCTCCCTGGACTTCTCTAACACCATGAGGTGACAAAAACATTTCAGATGTGACCAGTATGACTAGTTGGCCATTTTAGACATGATACAGGGCTCTTGGTCTGCTCCTGGCCGTATCTCCCTCTTCTTCTGAAGCAGCCTGCAGATCCTTAAGTGCTGGGCACTAAGACTGCAGTTGGCCTGGTGCACAGAAGATGATCCTTCTTCTTCCAGCCTTATTCCAACCTGAGAGCCAGGCAAACCAGTGAAGAGCCATCCTGAAGTCATGGACACAACCACACCAAGCAACTCCTGCGAGCGAATAAAAGTGGAACCATATAACTCACCACTGCCAGGAAAAAACACAGATTTTCAATTTAAGGCAAAGAGCAGCATTTGCAGCCGCTTCACTGCTCTTGTCACAAAGAATATAAGCATCGGCTCAGGGCAGATCAGGCAGGGTCAGCCGCAGGCGAAACCAGCTGCAGTTTTATCACTTTTATGGGCAATTTTACACGAAGCGGTTGATTAGGAAGATGACAAGAATAGAACAGCTCTCACCTCCAGGAGCATCACAGTAAGGCAAATAGAGGAACAAGAATTCCCAACCCTCCTTGGGAAGCCGAAGGGGTTGTTGTGAAGGGATATGTCCCCATAGCGCCAAGGAGGAGATGGTGCCTGGTGTTTTGGAGGCAGCCTTGGAGGCTCCTCCTCATGTTCTTGACATGCCAGTCACGGTCACAAGGGGATGCAGGTTCAAAGCTTGGCTTTGCCGTGCCCTTGTTGCGTGACCAGGTAAATCTCTGCCATTCTTCCTCGGCCGTGCCCGATTAATGCAGAGACCTTGGATGCGCTCAGATGAGCGAATACGACAGGGCCTTGATGTCTTCTAAACACAAAGAACATGAAGCAGCCCCCGGCATCACCCAAGAACCCTGTGCTCCAGAAATACGGTGATGTTTCAGAGAGGGGTATTACAATTTTATAATAATGCCAGATATTGAAAGATAAGCCCGGGGAACCCCTGCTCTGAGCTGTGGTGCAGCAGGGGGCTCTGGGCATCACAGGTTCATTGCCACGCTCTGCCACGCGTCCTCTCAGCTGCCATTTGGTACTTGTCAGGTCAACCTATAGCCCCAGCACCCAACTTGCAAGGAATCAAACTACAGGAATAAATCTAAAGATAACACTGGGGCCTTTGAAGCAACACATCCCTCAATATTTATCCCCTCCATCCTTCCTAAACACTCTATTAACTACTAATTTTAATATTCCAATCATATAAATCCTGATGGTACCTTCTAGGTGAGGGATTTTTTTTTCCCATTCCTCTTTATTTAAACATTCTTTATTCACGCTTTCATCATTTGCCAGTTAAGTCAACTAATTTTCTACTAAACCCAATTTCACTCATGGCTGCAGTGAAATTTCCCTGATTTTTTCTCGTGCCATGTACTATTAATGGCGCTTGAAATTATGCAAATAAAATTGATGAGCGCAAATGCCTTTTTCGCAGCGAGCTTAGCCAAGAGATTTGTTTTGAACAACAGTTGATCCCAGCATCAGCTCTGGAAAGAAAACAGCCCAAGCATCTTCCCTGAGAGACGAGCGGAGCCTGGCGATGGGCTCATGTCCCACACAGGAGCCCTGGCAAGCGCCTCGGTTCCAACCCGAGGGCCAAGATCAGACCAACGACGTTGCTTAAACTCGACTCTTGCTCCTGCTGGTGATATCGCAGCCGCAGCGGCGCTGGCTGCCGTTCTCCCCTCCAAGGAAGCCAGCAAAACCTCTGCTTCCCCACAGCACTGGCCCATCCTGCGCCGTGCTCCGCCAGCTGCCTTCACCAGCTGTGCCTACTCCAGAATAAATCTGCAGCAGCTCCTTGTCCTCCTGTTTTCCCCTCCTAGGTACTTTAATCAACCAAGGGACCCATTCCCTTCCTGAGCTTGGAGAAGGCTCTCTGCATTCAGATGACTGCAGGGTTATTGCTACATCCTGTTGACCTATTTTCAAATTAACCCAACCTTTCCTTCCAAGTTATTCCTCCCCAGGCTGGAAAAGTCCAGCACTAAATTGAGCTCACGGGAACCTGCTGACAACTAGGGCCAATATCCTAGGTGGGATCTAATAGCATCTCTGCCGCCCGCCTCTGCTGTCAGCAGCAAGGAACAGAGCAGGAGAAGGGCTTTGCAGTGAGCCTGCAAAAGCAGACGTCTTCCTCTTGGCAATAAAAATAAAATAAAATAAAATAAAATAAAATAAAACAAAATAAAATAAAACAAAATAAAATAAAACAAAACAAAATAAAATGCTGTCTAGTCGTGCCTGTTAATGCCAGGGACATGGACCACGCCAGCCGGGCATGAGCAGCACGTTCATGGAACCAAAAACCTGGCACACAAGCGAGCAGGCTCAGACTGGGAGATTTTTCACGGTCGTCTGCAGTTGAAGAGTCTCCTCTGCAGACGCATCTGCTCCCAAACTTCCTCAGCTCAGCCCAGATACTTTGGATGCCAGTCATGGGAGGAGCCTGCAAGATGAGTAGCCCTTCTGCATGGCCTTGGAGCCCAGCTCTCCTTCCTACCGTGTTCCTGCTGTTCCCCCAAGCCCAGCAGAGCCTCATGAGACCCCTGCAGGTACCCTTGGACTTGCTCTGAGCCTGGAGATGAGCCACAAGGAGCTGAGCAGGACACTCACGTCCAGAGGCAGAGTGCAACCCTCCAGAATCCATCTCCATGAGTCATCATTGAGCTCCAAATTAAATGTGCTTCCTCCAGAAATGCAATTCAACAGCTCAGAAATTCCTGTTCATTTATGTGCCTTCTTCCTTGCAGCATAGCCATGGGACTCTTGTTTTGCCCTAGCCAGCTCTCCGTTTCCGAGCCCACTGGACCTGGCTGCAGGAGACCAGGAGGAGCAAAGGGGCTCGACCCCGCACTCCAGCGAAGGGCAGTGATTAGCAGCGCTCTGTCCCGCATGTGGCTGGAACCAGCAGCTCCTTCTGCTCAGAAGCTGGGCAAATATCGAAGCACCTTCCTTTGGGCTAGTCCAACTGTCGGCAGAAGCTGCATGTGGCCCCAGCTGTGCTGAGCTCTCCATAACACCTGGAGCTACTTGGAAGACAGGGATATTTTCAGCCAAATCTTCAGAAGGTGCAAGGAGAACTAAGTGGATTTCCACCAGCTAACATCCTGGACCCCACTACTTGAGATATTTCCAGGGAAAATGTGTCCTGATTAAATACAAAACGGAGCAAACAGTTGCATGGACATCCGTCTGCGCTAGCAGAGCCCAGCCTGCCCGGAGCACGTCAGGAACTGCCCTGCCAACTGCAGAGTAAAAGCCGGAGCCTGGGAATCTGGGCTCTGCTTTTCCCATGAACAGATGCAAGGCAAAGATGACTTTTATCTGCCAGAAAATAATTAGAAATGCCTTCATCTGGACATTGTGTTTCCATTTGAATGGCTCTTTGTTTAGTCCACGGACATCACGGTGGCTGCGGAAACCTCAGGAAAACAGCAGCTATAATTAAGTATGTGCCAGAGCTGCAACGGGAACTCCAGCAGTGGCAGCGTTCGCTGGGAAGCAACGGCATCTCTTTCATCTGGAGGTGCTCTGTGTCACTGTGTCCCCCACGGCAGACCTGGCTCTGTGTCACTGTGTGTCCCACTGTGGACCTGGCTCTGTGTCACTGTGTCCCACGGCGGACCTGGCTCTGTGTCACTGTGTGTGTCCCACCGGACCTGGCTCTGTGTCACTGTGTGTCCCACTGTGGACCTGGCTCTGTGTCACTGTGTCCCACGGCGGACCTGGCTCTGTGTCACTGCGTGTCCCAAGGCAGACCTGGCTCTGTGTCACTGTGTGTCCCACCGCGGAGCTGGCTCGGCCATGCAGCCTCCGGCTCCTGCACTGTGCACTGGCCACTGCGAAAGGACAACGTTGCAAGCACCCAGCAGGTGAAGAGCTGCAAGCAGGGGATGCAGGAGGCTGCTTAAAATCCACTGCCTCGTGCAGGGCTCGTACTGCGAGTCCTGAGCTCGACGCTGAAGCGGGGAAGCTCTGAGAGCGCATTGCAGAGCCCTGAGCCTGCAGGGCATCACCTCCCTTCAACCTTCTCTCCTTCCTAATGACCAGTTACTTTCAAAGGGGCAGTTTCCAAAGTCCCCGGGATCAACACCCTTGGCACGGTAGCAGCTTGGGGGGTTGCACCTCCAGCCTCCTGCCAGCCTCACAAAACCAGCTTGAGATGCTGAGTCTGAGCCAGGCCCCGTCGCTCCCCACAGCACTTGTCCTTGGAGGAAGGAGGCGACGCAGAGGAAGGCCGGGCGCCCACGCACATCCTTCCCGCCGGGGAGCCCTCGGCGCCCGGCCGGATGCTCCGTGCCAGTGCGAGCGTCTTCCAGCTCCCGGGCAACATCAGGGACCTCCAGCAAGGAGCCAGCCCATGCATCCGAAGCCGGCAGGGTCCTGTCCTCCCAGTTTCAAGGTTGGACTAGAAACGTTGCCTTCTCCCCTGCGCGCCAGGCGTGGCGTTTGCAAGACGGCTGCTAACTGATAGGTTCGGCTCGAGGCCATTGCTGCAAACTGCGGCGGGTATTAAAGTACAGCTAATACATGCCCTGCGAGGCTCTGCATCGGTCACCAGCAAAACGAGTGTTTCACCATTTGCCCATCAAGATGCATCAGCAAATTCACTGAGAAATGCAAAAGAGGACAACTCCCAGCAGATAGTTCAACTAAAAAAGTAGCCACCTCCAAAAGGAGACAGCAGCACAATTCACAGGTTTTGAAGCTCCCGAGGGGAGGAAACATAAGCTACATTTGTCATCTTGCTTGTAATTCCCTAACCCTTGCAGTTCACTCGGGAGTAGAGCTTTTGAAATACAAGGTACGGTCAACTCAGAAGCATCTCCCCTCTGGGCAGGCCAGGCAGATGGCAGATGCGAAGGGGAAACACAGAGAGGTCCAAGGATGTGGTCTGTGGCACAGTCAGGAATGCAATTGCCTCTCCTGGTTCCCAGCTCTCGAGTGACTGCGTGATCTCTCCAGCATGAAAGGACAAGTGTTTTGAAGTCCTGCAGCTCCATTTTGACCTCCTTGTGTAAAGTCAAGGCTGAGCTCAGTGGATCCCTTCCTCAGACCTCCTAGGGGCCCCAGCCACTTGACAAGCTGTAGAGCAAGTCTGCAAATACTCAGAGCTCCTTATGTTCACCCAAAATAAGCACTCATCCACAAAACCACCTGGGAAAGCATAGTTTAACACCCTGTTGTTCACCATGTGCAATTTGCTATGTGCTCCTCTCCCAGCTACAGCGTTATCCTTCAGGGACAGATGCAACAAGACATGATTTTGGCTGACCAGCACACGCCGTCAAACTCCAGAACCCACAACCACACGTGTGGACTCTCCCTTTTCACTTCCAACCTAGTAGAGCTCCTGTCAAGCACCCAGCATGGAGCAGAACCTCTAACTACCACCTTCTTGGGTCACATACCCAAGTGTTATCCTGCTGGCCTGCATGATCCCATTTGGACTCGATGATCTTGAAGGTCTTTTCCAATCATAAAAATTCTATGATCCCCAGCATTTCAGACCCAATCCTGCGCAGTGCCTCCGGGCACTGCTGCATTATGATCAATATACACACTACTAATGAACAGCTCTTAGGCAACTATTGGCTGAAGTGTAGACACGCAAACCTTTTAGTGATCCTTTGCCAATGATCAATAAGCATATAAAAATCAGTTCAGAAATTTGGAGAGACAAAAATCAAGTCAGGATAAAGGCTATTCTGTGTTGAATAATTTATGGTACCCAGTCTTCCTGCCATGAAGGCCATGCTGAGTGGGAGAACTTGCAGCTTCAAGCCCTGGAAGGAGGAGGAAACTGCCAAAGAGAAACCAAAAATGGATCCAACACTTGGCATTTCCAGGGTAAAATATCTCCAAATCTCAGTTGATTATTACTAGGCTGCAACAAGCCCCAGGTGAAGCCCAAGCCCTCTGCGAGAGTTGATGATGTTCAAGAGGCTTCATCCAAGAGACACTGATGCCAACATTCCTGTTTCTCCCAGCACTGCCTGTGGCACAGACCTCGTTAGTTAAGTCCTTATAGAGACATCTGCAGGTGTGGATGGACAAATTTAGCCCTGGGCTGCCATATGTATTTCCCACCTGGGCTGGAGGGTGTTTTCTTTCCTGTGCCCAAGAAGGAAGGGGCCACAGGACATCAGATCCCATCCCTGTATGCTCCCAGGACTCTTCCTGGAGCAACGCACCCAACCCGCCTTGGCATCCTCAGCATCCCTGAGCCCTCCCAGGCCAAAGCCATGTCAATGAGGAAAGTTGCCCAACAGGCGGGAATTAATTATGCAAGATTAACTATTAGCACAGCTCATTATTAATCAGCACTGTTCCGGGAAGCCTCCCGCTTGCCTGCGGTGGCGGAATGACCGATTTCCACACTCCTCCGAGCCAGCTTCCTGCCACCACTGAGCGGCCACTGCGAGGCTCGTCATTAAAAGACACCCACGAGGGCCACACAGGAGCAACAGGACCTCCCAGATGCTCCATCCTCCTTTCACCCTGGGAACCTGGGCATCCTTTCGGCCGTCAGCTCGACTGCGCCTGCCTCCCGGGGAAGCTGCTGCGCGCTGCATCAGGCCCGGGATTATTTTGAGTTAATTATTCAGGAGATAATTCTGCTCATTAATCACAAATGCTGCTGGGGCTGGGCTGGGTTTTGTGCCTTGTTTTTTGCCCAGACTGTTCTTTTTCCCTTCCCTTCATGGCACAGCTCAATGTACATCTCATTATTCCTTTGCGCTGCCGTGTGGCTCCTGGACAGGGTCCCCTTGGTGGCCACACTCCCTCGCATGGGTTATTCCGGGCAGCCCGGTGAGGCAGGGAGGGAGGAAGGAAGGAAGGAAGGAAGGAGCAGAGTCACCTCTCAAACAGCACCAGCAAAGCCCTGGGGCCCCACAGCACCTGCATCCTGCATCCCCCAGCCTGCAGGGACCGTCCCCAGCGACAGAGGGAGGGAAGGGGCTGCTCCCGTGACCAAGCCCTGCCAGGAGTCGCCACGCGCTGTCCGATGGTCAAGGGGCACCCACCTCTGCAGCTCCTTGAGGGAGACGGTGACCCGCAGGCTGTGTCCCAGGAGGAAGAGGGCAGCCAGGATGTCGGCCCACTGCACCATCTCCCCCAGCGGGCCCCCCTTCAGCACCCGTGGGCTGAAAACGTCCCCCGACTCCTCCGTCAGGAAGCCGATGTGGATCAGGATCTGTTGGGACAAGGAGAGGCGATGACGCACAGACTGTGGGCACAGGGACAAACATGCCCCGATTCCTTCCCTGCTCCTTTTGCGGGCCTTAATACCCGAGGTGTGAAGCCCATGTCTCAGCAGCCAACACTCCCAATTCAGTGGCCACCAGTCCCCACTGCCCACAGGCCTGTTTGCCCCAAGTCCATCAGGGCCTGGCTCACGGATGCACACAGGGTGATGCTGTGGGAAGGCGTACAAAGACCCAGGTAAAAAATGCAAAGATTTATCTCATTTGTAGAGAGCATCATACGTGTTTCTGGTCCCGCTGCCGGCCCTTCAGTTTCTGCTCCAGGCGCCGGGCCGCCCGCAGCCACTGCTGGGCCAGGTGCCGGATCCTCTTCTTCATGAAGATGAGCGACTCCTTGCCCGTGCCTACCAGCTCCAGGAGCTGGGTGAGGTCGCTCCGAAAAGCTGCCTAGGGAAGAGAGCGGTTTTGCTGTTCCAGCGGAGGGAAAGCAGCTGTGAGAGGAGCCTGGGGACTCAAGAGCACCCAGGAGGTTTGCTGTCCCCAAGCATCTGCTGCACAAGGAGTCCCTGGCGTGGAAGGCTCTCTGCAGCCTTCAGAGCTGCCGAGTACCAGCTGGTGGCTGCTGTGAGGTTCCCTTTGGAAAATCCAGGACAGGAGAGCAGGCAGAAGAGGAGGGAATTAAGGGGGTATTTTGCCTTTCCCACTGTCTCTTCTCTCAGCTCCCAAACTGGTAGGCACAGAAAACTACTCAAAAAGGACCTTGAATTATAAACGAAAGCCCATCTTGGGGGGATGCGCTGGCACAGCTGACCCAAACCAAGCGGAGCAGCCCATAACACATAGCCCATTGCACGAAATGCAAATCCCACAAAGCCAACCTAACACCTGGCACATGGCACCTGCCACCCTTTCCGAACCACAGCCTGAAACCAAAGCTCCTCCACTTAATGCATCAGATTCCCAGGGCCCTGTTGCATGTGATGACTCTGGCAAAATCCCAGATGTGAGAGACTATTCACATGATGCCTTTGGCTCCATCTCGGAGGCCAAATGTCTTTGGGAGTACTTGTCCCGCTGACCCTCCAAACCCACTTCACGCTGGGCAGGATATGAGCCACCACGGCCTTACCTGGCCCCTGGGCAGCGGTGCGGGCGAAGGCAAAGCCGCCGTCTGGTTTCTCCAGGGCAGGGGAGGGCAGAACCACTCGACTTCACTGAGGTAGATGAGGAAGGAACACTCTGTACCATCCACACCAAAAAACGCATAGCAGGGGTCAGAGGTCCACCTGGCCCTCATCCACTGCAAGGGAGGCAAAGCAACCCGTCAGGCTCCCACTCCCACCAAGGATGCTCTCAATGCCATCGCGGGAAACCTTCTCTTTAGCTTGGCCAAGAAAGGAGCCAACCTGCTGCTTTCACAGCCCTGGGCACAACAGGGTTCCCTGGGATGATTTCCCTGGAGGAGAAGAGCCAGCGACCACATCACCAATCTATCATTCCCTGGAAGGGCTTTCGGCGGCCTCTAATTCAACTACAAAAACAAATCTACTCAGGAGACAGGTTGCTGTGCCCAATATGTAAAACGCACCAATCACCCAGACAGGAGATCGAATTACAGCCTTCCACAATTAAATTACCCTCTGAATTTACTCGGATCCTGGAAGGAAAGAATGCCTGGTGCTAAGGGAAGACGAGAACACAACCCCTGGTTGTTTTTTAATAAACCTTTCAGTATCTTTTTGGGGAGACTCAGCCCTACAGAAATCTAAGCTGAGTTTGATGCTGGATGCTGGGAAGGGAGATGGTTTTAATTAGTGCATATAAATACGCTCTCTGGCAAAGCAAACATGCCCCAGACCAAACAGCGTCTTGCATTCAAGTGCAAAGGCAGGCGGGCAGGACAAGATCCTTGTCACCTGAACAAGCTGCTCTTCTGTGCATGGCTGACACTATTCCTCGGAGACTAGATAATGCTCTGAGTATTTAAAGATGTGACAGTGCTTTCTGCTCGTTGCGCTTCTGTCATCAAACAAGGAAAATGCAGGCAGCAAGGTCTACCAGCAGAGGGGATCTCCTGGAGCTGCCATCACGGCTGCCTGGAAGCCCTAATTCCTCTGCCCTTCTCCCAGAGGGACCGGCCCGTGCTGAGACGGGCAACCACCCCAACTCACCTCCACTTTGCCAGCACAGTCAGGGTACTTGGGGTCCCTGGGCACCTCGCACTGGTCTCTCCTGCTGTCCATCACTGTAGAAAGAGAATTTGGGCAGAGGAGGGCCATGCAGAGGGCCATGCCATGCCGGCAGTGAGGTGATGGAACAGGGTTGATGGTCCCTGCATGCAGCCGGCTCTGCTCCCGCAGGCTCCCACCTGGCTGCACTCACCCTGGGCAATGCGGCCAAGTGAGTCACACAGTCTCATGGTCCTACATGCACACACAGAGATAAGTTTACATATTTTTGCTGCTCTCAGCCTAAATTTCTGGATCTGATCTAGGCCACCCAAACTGCGGTGGTTCGGGGACCACGCTGCCCTTCCAGCACTGCCAGGAATGGAAGAGAAGGTGTCCCAGGCCTGGAGGCCGAGCTCCAGATCCAAACTGCCAAGTCTTTCCATCCCAGGTGATGGCATGACTCCTCACCCCAAGGTGGGAAGGCAAGTAGGCAGCCCACCATGAGAAGACTGGCTCAACAAAGTGCTGTGTTTAATTTCACACGTCTTGTTCCTCTGCACATTGATTCCCCAAGCTCTCAATTTGGCCTGGCCAAGTAAGGTAACACTTTAAGGAGGAAGTTATGGGTGCCAGCAACCACAGAGTGTGGTGTCTTATCCAGTCTCCTTCTTCCAGCCCTCCTGGCTGTAATGGCAAGATGTCCCAGATGCCTCCAAGATGGGCCCAGCCCAAACTCAGGGCCTCCTCTCCCTTGAAGAGATGCTTCCAGCATGCTGAGCTTGACGAATTACAGATGGTGAACATGTCCTGCATTGGCATGGGAGGTAACTTTCAGCCACTGCTCCCTTGGCCCAAGCATAGGCAGACATCTGTTATTAGAGTCAAAGGCTGAACACAGGAAAATGGGTCAGGGCATGACAAGAGGCTCCATGTGCTCTAACACTGTGCTGCCGATCATGCAACTATTTATGCTGTTAACATGAAGGATACTCTCTTCTGCTCCTTTGCGCTGGGAAATGGTTCTTCATAATAGAGGTGGACATTAAATATTGATACCAGGAAAGGAATCTACTGCCTAGCCCAGATCTCCCCCGATAGCAAAGAGGACAAAAAGGCTCTCTGGAACATTATCTGTGGCCAGAGGAAGAAAAACTAACAAGGAGCTGAATATTTCATACCCCAGGGGCTGTCTGAGTGCCCATTGAGGAAGTCAGTCATAAAATACTTTTATCTGCTACACCAATCTTCAGCATTTTACCTTTATACATTTGCTGTTTCCAAGACCCTAGATTTGACCCAGTGAGGTAAAGACAAGAGGACAGCACAGCGAGGCTTTGTCATGGAGCACAGAAAACGGAAAAGGGAAATGTCTTGCAAAGACATCAGACCATCCCTCTCCTTGGTGGTAGGACTAGTGATGTACCCGTTGGGAAACTGAATACAGGAAGCAATGGGACTCGCCCAAGGCCATCTCATGAGACGGTCTAGTTATTAGCAAAGTAATATCATGCCAGAGCAGTATCTGTCGAACAACAGACATACAAAAACCATCTCAAGTAAAGTACAACCTTATCCAAAACACATTCACTCCCCGCCAAAGCATGACACTGGCTTGTGGATCAACATTCCTAAATTGCTGATTAGCAGAAAACAAGGAAGCCCCACCAGGATCATGATCTCTCTCTATTTCTCCATCATTTTTATTCTTTCTCAACAGACAAAACAAGTTTTGGGCCCACTCCATAGAGTTAGATACAGAAAGTCCTAAGAGCTCTGCCAAAGAGCGTGAGGGGTCCTACTTACTTCTTTAGACAAGTAGGTAACCTCAGATCAGCATCCTTGCCCATGTTTTTTACCTGGCCTTCTGTGGCAGGCTTGACTAGATTCCCTATTGCACCATACATATTTTGGAGCATGTGGCTGTGACCAGGGCACTGGTGATGGGGACCTCCTTGCACACTTACTTTTTCCGTTCATGAGGCTGTTCCGGAGAATCTGATCTACTTTTATTGCAATGTCTGAGACATTTTGAGCTATAGCTTGAATCCTCTCCATCAAACCAGCTGCTGGCTGGAACCTGGAAATAAAACAAAAAGACCGTGAAAACACAATGTCTTCTTGTCACAGAATCCCTTTTTGTTATATAGAGCCAGGAGGGCTGCCTGCTTCACACAGCAATCTTTCTTCCCTTGCAAGCTGTTGGCAGGTAGAGCTTAGCCCCAGGATGTAAAACAGAAACACATCTTCCACTGTGGGTCAGGTAAAGAGCTCACTGGCTTTAAAGAGTTTTAACTAAAACTACATAATCAATTCTCTACCATTTTGTGCTGTGCACTGATGAATACAGACACATCTGAGGGTTTTACAAAGGAAAAGGAAATGTGCCTGCACCTTTGTTTTATTTCAAATATGCCTGAAGATATTTTACTGAAATTGTTGATCTCGTAGCATATGTAAGAAGTCATGGGAGAGGAGAGGGGAAGGAATAAGGACAAAAAAAATCCTGAAAAAGAAAGGTGGACTGGGAAGCTCGTAGGCCTGAGCAGCAACAGACAACCCCAGTCCCAAGGGGCACAAAGAAGGCCTGACCCCTCTGTCCAATCCCCATGGATTTAGACCAGCAGATTTCCACATCCAGCAGTGATTCACAGCCAGCTGGAGTGGGCACGGCCCTGCCAAGGTGAAGGCACAAGGTAACCCCGCTGTGTTACATATATGGGACCTCGTTGCTCGGGAGTTTAGCACTGCCGGATTACATTGAATGTGCAAACTATCTGGCCCACAAAAGAGACAGCCTGGCTGCCTCCGTGAAGAGGAGGGCAGTGATGGTGCCTTCACCGGTTGCATTTCCCATGTAATCGTGGAGGGGCCGCCATCTCGTAGCGCGCAAGACGGGCTGGGGTTGGGGATCGCCACACACCGCTCTCCAACCGAGCCCTGAGCTCGGTTACCGCTGCAAATAACTCTCTGCAGCCTCTGGGTCATAAGCGTTTTCTCCGGCTGCCGAGATCATTAAAATACACAGAAGTGTCATAAGCAGTGAGCAAATCCAAAGGGGCTACCTGGAATACTCCTGGCACCACAATATTTGCTGCTTTCAGGCCCTTCCCACAGAAGTTTTATGTTGGTTCTCTAGCAGATCAGCAAACCCGAAGGCTGGGATTTAAAGCTCCTCTGTCCTCATGGCTAAAAAAAACCCCCAAGTTTTATGAACCGATACTGTTTCTGCTGTTGATTTAAAGTCCGTTCTGTAGCAGCAAGCAGCTCACATTTTTCCTTCTGGCATGGTTTATGGCCGCCAATACTGAACCTTCATATCTCCACAGGGGACCACATATCCCAGGCTTTTAAGAAATAATAATTAAATGTAGAGGACACCATTGCCCCCAAGTAGCTTTCAACCTTTCGCAGAAAATAAACCCCAAATAACCTGCCAGTTGTTTACTGCCAAAACTGGGAGGCCCGGTAAGATATGGAGACAAAAAACTCCTGTGATGTGGGCTGCTTGCAGCACGGCTACAAGGAGGTAAAATGCTCCTGTTCTGAGGGCTGATGTCTCAAAATGTCTCAAAACTCCAGTTTTGGTTTGCAACCCTTTCTTTCCCATAAGAAAGCAGCAATCAGATCACGCAGGTGATACACATGCACTCGGAAAATCAGGAAGAGCCAAGATGACCAGTTTTGTAAGAAATATCACAAGAATTCATTGAATTTAACAGGCTAACCGCCAGCAACACATGGCTAACACATTGTGGAGATGCTCCTCTAGTTCTTCTACCGCTCGTGGTGTGGAGATGACACTGGATGCACTTGCAATATCCCTGCTCCACTTTCCAAAGCTTCTGGATCTGCCTGTGACTCAACATTTGCCTGCCCAGGCCCGAGCCAGCCCTTGCAGCCAGGCAATTGCCCCAAAGCCAAAGGCTACCTTGGCCTCCACCTCATCGCCAATGGCTTTTGGGGCAAGCTCAGCTAGGGCCAAGAACCAGCACATGCTGGTGACGCAGGCAGCATCGAGACAGGCGTCTCCAATCGTGTCACCGGGCAGCCGGAGTGCGGCTCGAGCACGCGTCGTTTGTGGCATTAAAGAGATGACAAGAAGGCTAAGCAAAAGCTACCGAAACTATCATTAAAATGATTTGTCACCTGAGCAGAGGACAGGAAAATAAGATATTTAAGGCAAAACCTCAAATGCAGAAAGGTTTTCTGCAGCTCATCACAATCCAATGCCCTATCCTTAGTAACTGGAGATGCGGGAAAGGACAAGCTAAGTGGCTTATTCCAGCAAATGACAGCTAAGCGGAATGAAAATATTTCAGTACCCTTGTTTGTTACCCAAAAATGGGAATGAGATCATCAACTGTGGATCCAGCACAAAAATCAGCCCATGCAGGGGATCAGAGCAAAGCTGCAGCTTCATTAAATCACACTTAAGGTGAGGGCAGCTGCTGGAGGTAAACGCTGGCATCCTCTGCACGCCGCACGTGCAGAAAAGCTTCATCCTGACCTCGCTGGAATACCGACATCACCAAAAGAGCAGCTTGATTCCAAGCACAAGCATCAGCAACCCGTTCCAGTCCCTCACTGCCACTGTTTGATTTTTAATTTTTCTACTGTGACACCTTAAATGCCACCAAAATAGGTTGGCCCTGTGCCAGCTATTGAAACTAGAGCAAATTGCTATAGGTTTCCCAGAACAAATTTTTCCCCAGGACCTTAAAACCGTTTACTACAGCAAATATAGCACTTTTACTTCTAACCATCAATATTGATTTCATCTTTATTATTTTCAGATTTATATTTCCCCATGATGATTAAGATTCAGATCACAGTGCAACTTATAATGCACCATATATTGTATTCATCTTGTTTCAAAAACTGCTATTAAGATATATCTTTCCCCACTGGCAGATCATTTGGCACATAATATAGCTGGAGGTTGAGTTTTCTTTTACTTTTTTTCTGCATTAATTTGGTTCCCTTCACTTTGTCTCATGTCCCCAGCCCTGCAGCAGCAGCTCGGATCCAGCCTGTTTATCCCTTTACAAGACACTGTATTTTTATTGCCTTTTAGAAAAGGGGCATTATGAAAAGATGAATCTCTTTCTATTTGTGTGTTGTCTTCATAATACAAGCCCTAAACATATTTGCTTGCTCATCCTATATTTCTTGCTATTAACTGCTGAAAGCTGTGACTGGGGAGAGACTGATACAGATGGAGAAAAGCAGATGTTTTGAAGATAATGCATCACAAATGCATTGCTTGCACAGAGCCGCTTCCCAAGTGATTTCAACTTTCTCACAGTGATGTCTGTGCTGCCGTTTGCCTCTTCAAAGGTTTTTGTGTCCCAAGGATGAAGAGCAGGGACCACCGTGGAGGTGCCCTGATTCCCTGTGCTCCAGAGCTGGCATCCAAGGTGGTGCTACCAGATAAGCCTTCCCAAAAAGGGCCGGTCCCATCCCGCAGCTCCTGCCGGGGCAGGGGCCAGGTTACTCACACAAAGGGCATGGGGCTCTGCTTGCCCCATCATGCCATGACACCAAAGCAGGAGGGTGAGCAGCAGGAAGGCACTGGGTCCTGGGGGAGACCAGGAGCTGGGAAATGAAAAAGGCCACATGGAGCTCTGGAAAGATGGGGCAATTAAGAGCTTTGCTTCTCAGATAGAAAAGAACCAGGGTGGATCTCATCAAGGCAAAGCTTTCCTGGGATCCCCATCCTTCTGCCTGGCTCATTGCACCCCTCCAGGCTTGCACACACCAGGGAAAGGAGAAATTGTCCTTGCACTCCTTGCATCCCAGCACCGAGGAAGAGCAGGGACCCTGGAGCACAAGGGCAGGAGGAGAAGCCCCGGGACCCTCAAGGGCTGCAGTCAGCACTCAAAAATCAGGTTACAGCCCTCATCCCCCTGGGAAACCCCAGGGATGGGTGCAGGAGATAGAGCAGCAAGCACCCCATTCCTGAAGATCAGCTGCACATTTTGCATTCATTTGACTTATAACCCTGCTTTAATCCTCAAACCGCAGTGCTGGAGCTATTGGCCTAAGCCTGGATAAACAAGTGTTTGCTTATTTATTTTGCAGGAGGCCAACCAGGAGCAAGGCAAACAGCGAGCCCAGGGCAGGGTGCCGGCCGCCCAGGGACAGTGAAGCACCCCAAAGCCCTGGGTGCTATAACCTCCATCCAAACTCATAGCAACATCACAAAGAAAAGGAGGGGAAAGCATAGACACAGTGGGGCAGCTACACAAGCCCTCACTGCAAATCACCTCCAATACGGGAGAAAACGGTGGCAAAACCTTGGGGCTGAGGCTCTGGGGGCAGAACACACTCCCTGCTCGACTGTGTCTCCCCAGCATGGACTCGATCACGGCATTTAGTCCCTCCAGGCCTCAGCTTCCCAGTACTAAAGCACAGATAGCGACGCTCTGTCTGCCACGTCCATCAGACCCACACTGGAAAAGGCTCTTTCAACCAGCAAGTGCTTTTATGCTCCACAGGAAGCTCCGGCCAATTTCATATAAAAATATCACAAAACGGTCTATGCTTCAAATATAATTTCTGGTATTGCTGTATTCTGCAATCTTTCCTATTATATCTCAGCGCTGAGACAAACAGCTCAATCTCTTCTCCATGAATATTTGAATAAAGACCTGACTTTGCTCCGGCAGTGGCTGCACTCATGCTGAATTCATATTGGGCAAAGATCCCAGAAAACACATCTCAGAACGGGCGCCTTCCCTGCAAACTCATTTTAAGCACATATCGGGTGGTGCATGGGCAGAGCCATTCCCAAGCTTCCCCAATGTTAGGAGTTACTTCCAGCAAATTAGAGGAAGAAAACGACAGCATGTAACTGAGCCAAGCTGCTCAAGTGACAGATCGCATAATAAATACCAGGGTGTTTTACTCAAGTAGTTCAATTTTAATTTCAATTTACATTGGGCAAAGTTTCTCACACAAAGTGTATTTACAGCATCAAACCCTTAGCCAGCAGAAAGTCAGTGGCTGCAGGAAAACTCTGCCATTTCAGCAAGTTGGCAATAAATTTTGAGGAAAAATAAGATCTCTTCAGGAAAGCATTGACCAATTTTCCAATACAAGTCAATTCCAATTCAAGTTCATTATGGACCCATAACAAATGGCTCACAAGTACCCAGCACAGTAAATGATTTGCCAACAATACATAATATGGTTAATTAAAATATTTTACAAACGCTATAAACTCCTCAGAGCTCCTCTGAAGCCGAATATGAAGCTGGAGGCAAAGCTAAGCCCAAGCCTCCGTCTTCCTGCAACTGGAAGAGCAGGACGGAACATCGAGACCAGGCATCTGCAAATTTGATCTGTGGGAATAGGAAGGATTATAGTCCTGACGGGTATAGGATGCCCTTTGATGTTAATTTTTCCCTTGATTTGTGCATAAATCAGATATTCATTTCCCCTGCTCGGGTCTCCCGACGCCCATGGTTTGCAGGATACACAGTACCAATGTCCCCGTACAGATGCGCTACTCCCCTTGCCAAGGGGGCTTCCTCTTAACCAGCCTAATGTCCCCATGCCACAGCTCCCAGAGCGGCTTTGGGCACAGGGAAGCTCCTCACCCTGCAGCTTGGAGGCTGCAGCTGCCCAAGGCAGATCTTCCAGTGCAGCCTGTTGAAGTCACTGCTTGCATTTCTGTAGTGTCCAAGTCCTGCAGGCAGAGGATGGCGGCGGCGCTTCTGCGGGAGCCGGCGGTGAAGGATGCCGGGGATAGCACGAAGCACGCGGGGTTTGCAGAACAGCGCCTGGAGGCGGTGGAGACAAAGCCCTCGGGGCCTTGGGTTTCCCTTGGGAGATAAGGGAAGCGGAGCAGCGCTTTGCAAAACCAAGAGCCACC